TGACTGCTTGGATGGGCCCCTTTCCTGCAACCTGGGGACCCCAAGAGCCAAGGCAGGCTGGACCAAGAACAAACATCTTTGAAAACTCTTTCAAAGTCTTTGAAAACTCTCTTTTATACTTATTTATTTGGCTGGGGCAGGAACATGGCACAATACAGTGTGGAGATCCGAGGGCAACAGAGAGAGAACCGAGTTTGCCAAGCTTGGTAAAGGATGAGCCATCTCACAGGCCCAAGGGCAGACTTTCCGAGGGGCAGGGTTTCTGAGGCTGTGACTTTGTGCAAATAAGTGGCTTTCTGGGTCCCTGTGTCTGTCAGCTTAGGCTGGAAGAGGCAGCAGTACCAACCTCTGGGGCTTGACAGGGAGGAGGTGAGTTCACAGGCTTGGGGGAAACCGTGAGTTCCAATCTCACCCACACAGTTGTGTTTGCAGTGTGGGTAACGGTGAGATCTCTGTGTCACCTGGGATGCCGACCCTACCTCTTTGATTCTGTATAGAATGGGGGTAACAGCTCACCAGTTGCTACAAAGATGAGGGAAAACTTGGTTTATAGAGCTGTGCTTGGCAAGGAACAGGGGCGCAATAAACGGGCGAGGCTGCCTTCGGACTGTAGGAAATGAGTGAATGATGTCAAAAGAAGCCCCTCCTACCCTTGTCAAGCTCTGCCCCCCTCCTCCACAGCTTCCTCATTGGAGAGGACGGCCATGTGTATGAAGGCCGAGGCTGGCACATCAAGGGTGACCATACGGGGCCCACCTGGAACCCCATATCTATCGGCATCACCTTCATGGGGAATTACATCCCCAAGTGCCCAGCGCCCTGGGCTGGGGAATCTTGTGGGGAGAAGGGAATCACAGGCTCTGCCACCTATGACCTCGGGTTTTTTTTCTCTTGGGACCCTCTGCTGGGCAAGCAGCAAGAGTATACAGCTATAACCCCAGCACTCCTCAGGCAGAAACAAAAGCCTGGACCATATAGTGAGATCCCGTCTCAGAAAAAAAAATGAATCATGGCTGCAGCTGTAGCTTGGTTGGTAGAGTACCTGCCTAGCACTCACAAGGCCCTGGGCTCCAACCTTGAGCCCCACACAGACCACATGGGTGCCGACCTTAAACCCAGCACTGGGGCCAAACCAGTTCAAGCTGATCCTTCTCAGCATCACTCTGCAGGGATACAGGAGTCAGCCAACGGCTCACCTTCACCCTTGCTGCTGGTGCATCGGGTGTCTCCCGGGAGGGACGGGGCTTTTCTTCCTGCTGAGGAGACAGGCCCTACCTCACGCACACCGAAATGTCCCCTACTCTTCCATAAGACAATCCTTCACCAAGGCTGGCACCTTGCAGGGACACTAGGCTGACTGAGCCTGGCCCTGGGTCCCCATGTCCCCATCTTGATCCTGTCTCCTCTGGGGCAGGCTGTGAGCTGGCTTCCTAGGTGGCAGACAGAGGCTGGGATTCCAAGTTCCAGCACCTCAGAGGCTGAAGCCTCCATAGTCCAGGGAGTTCCAGGCCAGCCTGGGATAGGGACCTTCTCCAGTCAACCAGTTAATTCCTAAGACGTGTTTCATAGATGACAGCTATTTGTGTGGGCCGGACCCTGGGGCCTTGGAGCAGAGGAGGGCCAGGGCCAAGCAACAATATAACAGGAAGTGCTTGCTAATGTCCCCTCTGTGCTAGGCTCTCTTTC